CTGGCGCACGCCCCAGCCATGCAAGAGGTGCTGTGTGGTGCCAGGGACTGGCACTGGGTGAGAGGTAGGACGTGGTGCTGGAGTGATGCCCAGAGCTCGGCCCCTGGAACAGCACATGATGGGCATGGCTGGAGAGCCAGAGCCTGCGCTGGAGGCAGTGATGGGTGAGAGGTGCCGGGGGACACTACTGGGATGGGTGAAAACTGCTGGCAGGGTGCCTGGGGACACGGCTGGCTCAGTGGGATGGCTGTGAAGTGTCACAGGGTGCCACGGTGTTGCGCCCATGCAGGGGTTAGCCAGCAGCACTGCTCAGTGTGCTGTGCAGCCACAGGACTAGTTTGAAGCCAGCGATGCCTTCACTGTGCTCATGCATGAACTCACCCCTTACACTCCACACAGCTCCAACAAGAGCATACTCCTCCCATACCCCCTCCTCATCCTGGTGCCCCCTGACCCTTGCCAGGCTGCTCCAGCAGTGGGCAGGGAGGCAAGGTCCTGTCCTGCCCCTGCCTGGTTCAGGCGTGCTGCTGGGCATCAGCACTGCCTGTGCCGAGTTGGAGGTGGGAACCGGGATATTTTCTTTTTGGCATTTCCCAGCGGTTGGGTTGCTTTTTCTCGTTTGTTTGTTTGAAATCTGTGTTGGTTCTTGTCTGTCCTTAACTAGTCCCTCTGTCACCAGGGGCAGCCCCTCCGGCTGCTGCCCCACGATCAATGCAGAGCAATTTGCACTATAGTACTACACACAATTGCACATAACTAATGAATATTTATGGAGGGGGGGCTGATTCCCTCCCAGTGATTGCATTGTCAGGGGTTGGGTTATATTTTTGGGTTGTTTTTTTTTCCTGTGACTGACTCATTCTTTCCTGTTCCATTTTTTTCCCTTTGCCTAATGTTTCTTCAGATGATGGTGCACCATGTTACTAAGAATTTCCCTGGATCTTAATGATGTGTGTTTTTATTAGTAAGCAGCCAGCAGGTGAATGGCATCCCTAGACAACTTGAGTCCTTTGGAGCTGCTCACAGGGAGGGGATTGCTCCCTGGGAGCATCCTGGTGGGCAGCAGAGCCAACTACTGCCAGGGCACCATGCAAGGGGGCAGTCCCAGCACCAGTGACCTTCCCTGGGAGGGAAGAAAAGCAGAAATGCTTTCTTTTTAGAGGGTGACTGGAGCCAAGAAAGTGCTGAGACTCCCAGTAACTGGGTTTCTTTCTGAAAAGGGAAGTACAGCAGGATATAGCAGAGCCTCATGGGCTTTGCCTGTGATGGAGAGCAGTGGGAATGTGGAGGTTGCAGGGGGTGAGACTACAAATTGCTGTGGGTTGGCAGTGCCCTGAGCACAGCAGCAACAGGCAGGACAGTGCATATCCCACTGGGGTATGGGTGACCCCCTGCAAGGCTTGGTGTGCCAGGGTGCGGAAGTCCCCCCCCCCCCAGTGCCCCATGCCAGGGCAGAGCCAGTGGGAGAGGAGTCTGTGGCATCCCCTGACCCCAGCCCTCCATTCCTGAGGCCATCCTGGCCTAAATGAAGAAAGTCTTAAGGAAGCAGCATTTCCCTGTGACCCAGGGAACACTCTCCCTGTTGCCAAGGTAGGCGCTGCTGGCTGTGCATGGTGCTGCTCGTGATTTCAGTCACAGCCACAGTGCCAGGTGTACCAGCCCAGGGCAGGAGGCAGGAGCAGGAGTGCTCACCTGGCAGACTGGACCAGGGTCACTCACCAGACACGAGCTGGCAGGGCTCACCTGTCCTTCCAGGGTCACAGCTGCTGTTGGCACTCCTCTGGCCTCCCAGGTGGGAGAAGCCTCACGGGTCCCAGGTAGCTGCTGCTCCCCACTGGCTGCAGCGTGGTTGTTATTCTCATCATAGGAATAATAAAGGTGATTTCTTTTTCCAGTGGTTGTTTCCTGGCCTCCCTTGGAGTCAAACTCTGCTCAGGCTGTGCTCTCTGCCTTGTGGGGAAGGACATGGGGAAGGGGAGGTATCCTCTGGAACCAAAACTAGAAGGGCTCAGGCTGGCCTGGAAAAAACCAAGGGGCTGAGGAATTTTTGTGTGGAAGCAGAAGTTGGGATCCTCATCCTTTCCAGAGCAGACAGCCACAACTACCCTCCTTTAGCCTCCCCAAACAAGCTTAGGTGAGGGGGAAACCTTACATTTAGGGCTCCATGGCAGTGGCAGGGCTGGCCCTGGCACACCTTCTGGCAGGTTTTCCCACCTGCACACTGCAGCCCAGCTCTGGACCACAGCCAGGGTACTCAGCCCCCTGCAGCTGCTCATATGCCTCCCCTTCAATCCTAACCATCACCCAAGATGCACCAGCCCCTGGCTGAGCCTCAGGAGATGAGGCAGAACTGGGGCAAGGATACAGCTCCAAGGGAAAGGGGGAGATAGCTCCAAGCCCAAGGGAGATGCTCCAAGCCCCCTGAATTCACAGCAACCAGGTACCCCCCAAACTACAACCTGGCTGCAGGCATCCCCACTCCATGCCAGCCCAGGGCATGATGCTGCACCCCACTGTTTCCCCACCTCCCCTTACCCCACAAGCGCCTCTCCATGGGCAGTTTCAGCGCTTTATTGTCTGGAGGTCCTGCTACAGCACCCGCTGTCCTCCCCATGGCCACAGCCGCAGGGGGGAAGCTGTTCCCTCGCCCCCAGCACAGCACTGCAGTGTCCCTGGGAGCTGGAGGCTGCAGGAGCTGCAGCGGTCCGAGAACTGGCACTTAAGGAATCCTGGCTGGGGCGGCAGGCTGCTCCTCCGCCGGGCACAGAGAGGGCACATGGCCGGGCATGGCTGTGGTCCGGTCCCACCGGGCTGGCACGGTGGGTCTCTCCAGTTCAGGCAGCTTTGAAAAATGTGGTTCAAAAACGCCACCACTTCTGGGTTCTGACCAGGTGCTTGCAGCTTTGTTTCTCTTAAAAAGAAACCAAGGGCAAACTTTTTTTCCCTTTTATGAGCCGTTCTCTATTTTGGCCAGGAATTGCTTTGCCCACCACTCCTCCAGGTCGATGGGAACAAAGTCTGAAAGAGAGGGGAGAGAGAGGGGAGCAGCTGAAGCAGAAACTTGGGTGGTCCCTCTGAGCCACCAGAAAACACAACCATGGAATCACAGAATATCCTGCATTGGAAGGGACCCACAAGGATAATTGAGTCCAACTCCTGGGCCTGCACAGGACACTCCAACAACAATCCCACCTCATGCCTGAGAGTGTTGCCCAAATGCTCCCTGAGCTCTGCCAGGCTGTGCCCACTGCTCTGGGGAGCTGTTCAGTGCCCAAACACCTCTGGGGGAAGAACCTTTTCATAATATACAACCTAATGACACATCCGAATTTCTCCCACTCCTGTGTCCCCAAAAGGTCAGGCTGGGTCTACAGGGACCTTCTCTTCTTGGGGAGCTCTCGACCACTGCAGGAGCCCTCAAGGCTGCAGTCGCAGCCCTGACTCCAGCTGCCACCAGAGAAATGTCCCCAATCCTGCTTGATCCTGCTTCCCCCAAAAGAAGCAGGTCCCCATGGCAAGACCAGGGCAGGGAGGCTCCCCTGTAGCATGATTCTGAACCCACCTTGGTGGCTGGAAAAGACCTGATTCCCAGAGGAGTCGTCAACCAGGTGTCCTGCTTGCTGGGGCTCTTCCAAGGGGCAAGGTGGGACATAGCCAACACAGTGCCAGAGGTCAGCTGCACCCTCACCACTCCCCGAGCAGGACAGACTCAACCAGCCCCTCTGGCACATCCAGTACTAGGATCCTCCTCCTCCTACTACTGCAGCCCTGCTCAGGTGCCTGGCTGAACCCACACCAGCTCGTTGCAACCCTGAGCCCGAGGCACCCCAAAGTGCCGCAGTCCCTTCCCACTTACTTTTCAGTCCGGGGTTGGGGGTTTTCTCCACGTACTGCACAGGGCCACAGGCGCTGTCCCCACTCTGTCTGCTGTCCAGCTGCTGCTCTACCTGCTGCCAGGCTGGGGAGGGAAAACAGGCAGTGGGTGGGTTTGGGGTGGGGTTTCCCAGCCTGGGGGGACCATGGGATAGGAGCAGGAAGCAGTGCAAAGGAGGACAGGTTCCCCAGGCTGGGGACCCCATCTCTACCACTCATGTTCCCAGCGCGGTGCAGCTGCCTCAGAAGGGACTTCACAGACACCAGCCCCCCTCGAGTGCTGCCTCAGGGATCCTCCACCCTTACCTTCATAGACAAAGCGGACGTTCTCCTCATGGGCCAGGGTGTAGCACTCCTCAGGGGCTGAGATCTGCTGCAGCAGTACCTGTGGCCTCTTGCCATTCACTCTGTTGAAGACTAGTTTCTGGGCTGGGCTGCAGAGAGAAGCAAGGAGGGGAGTGAGGGGTGTCAGGAGCTCTGCCCACCACAGTTTGGAGCAAGGACAGGACTTGTCTGGGTTGCCCACAGTCCTGGCAAAGCCAGGGGAGACACCCAGCCCTGTCCACAAGGGAAGGGATAGAAAAGGATACAGCTGCCAGGTAGAGTGAGTTCTGACACACGGAGGAGTGCAAGGGGAGCTCCCTGTCTCCCACCCATCCTCCAGCACAGCACCAAGTACAGGCCCTAAAATAAAGAATCTGCCACCAAAATTGCAAGAGTTTTAGGAAAACGGAAGTGAAATCAGTTACGCAGTGGGCAGGGGATATGTCATTCTCTGCAGACCAAGCACCTGGGTTTCACTGGAGCAGCCCTGGACCCAGCATATCCCCAGTGTGCCCCAGGGCTGGGACAAAACCCTCTGCCAACTGGGAGCGAGGATCCCCTCCAGGACAGGAGTACTTAAACCAGCCCCAGTCTGGAAGCAGCAACACCAGAGACAAAGGAGAAGCTTGGGAAGAGACCTGGGGGCATGCTCAATGCAGAACTCCAGTATTTTGGCTTTTCTGCCCAGCTCCAGGGCAGGACATGTCTGCAAAAGCCACATTCCTCACAGGACAAAGTCTAAGGGGCCCCAGGAGTGGGTCTGAAGGGCAGGAGAGACGGGAACGGGCAGTCCCAGCGGATCTGCGGTCAGGGGCTGCG